TAGACAATGTTCCCCCTTCTCTTCTAGTTTTGAATTTGCTTTCAGAAATTACACTTATTTTTTAATATTTATTGGAAAAAAACAGACTGTATAAGGGAGGAATAATGTATCTAAATTCTTTATTGCGGAGCAACACAGGTATAACCAATTGCCTTGATTTCATTTTGAAACCTGTATGTCACATGATCAGAGGAATACGTAAGGGCTTTTATATGGATCAGTAGAAGATTTATGTCATGCTTTCCACTGATTATACAAGAAGCCTAGGCAATTAATCACTTTGGTTAGGTACCTTACTCTAAATGGGATGAGTACTGATCTGACATCAGCAGACAAAAGAAGGTGGTGGAACCCAGGATGGCTTTCCCAAAGACACTGAAAGGGTTAGTGCTAGAATTGTTGCTTGTCCGTTCCTTGCAATCTCAATTGACTGTGTTACCTTCCAAAGTGGAAATAGCTTTGTTTGGAAGAGACACACCATTTATAGTTGATTTAATGTATTTAGTTAGAACTTTATACTGTTTCACTGGTAAGCAGTTTGCAGAGGGCTAATGTCTGGTTAATTGAACTGCAAACGTGCCACAGATGGAGAATGCAAGTGTTGGCAAATAATATACTTTAAATAGGCATAAGTAAACTTTGAACCACTGCTTTCTATAGTCAGCAGTTCACCATTTGTTAAAGGTATTTATTAGCTTAGTAATATTTTTGAGCAGTTTATAAGTGAATCTTCACTCATATGTTGCTCTCTACAACTACCTGAAAGGAGGTTGTAGTGAGGTGGGAGTCGATCTTTTTTTCTAAACAACAAGCTATAGCACAAGAGGTAACAGACTCAAGCTTCACCAGGGGCAGTTTAGGTTGAATATTAGGAAAAATTTCTTCACAGAGAGGGTGATCAGGCATTGGAGCAGGCTTCACTGGAAGCGGTGGAATCACGTCCATGGAAGTTTTCACAAACCATAAAGATGAGGCCTGCAGTGATATGATTGGACATGATGGTTGGACACGATGATTTTAAAGGTCTTTTCCAACTTTTTTGATTCTGTGCTTCTCTGTCTGGTACTTATACATCTGATCCATTATTATAGCATCTGGCTGTGGTAGAGTAGCAGACTGGAACAAAAATGAACTCCATTCTCTTTAGAAATGCAGAGGAATAATAGTTTTAAATAATACACAAATTGAATTCCTGATGAGGTTTTCTTCACCAGCTGGAAAGCCTCTAACTGTCAGAAAGGCATTCAGTGTGTTTGACATTAAGGGTGGGGGAATGTTTGTGTAATTATAAATGTTAGACTTGCAAACGTGCCTTTTCATTGCAATGGGCTGAACTTTGACATGTCAACAGGAGCGTAACTTCACAAGATAAGCCTTGGTTTTTGTACCTTGGCATTGTTGCTTTTCTATATTATTTCAGTATTCATATCACTAAATTGTAGCTGAAGTTTACATGTGTGCACGTTTCTGATGAGACATTTAGATAATGTAAGTGTTCTTGACTAAACATTCAGTTGCTACAGCTACTGTATGCTGCTGTAACAGTTTTGGTATTGTGATGAAAGCTCAAATGGCACCAAGTATGAGTAATTACCTGTGATCATACAGGCTTGTGATATCTTGTGCAGTGCTGCTGAGCCTGATATTAATTTTATAAAGCTTTTTGATTGCTGAGGTCTGAACATTTTCAGGGAACTCTACACAATATTTTCCTAGTTATTTAGCACAAAAATACTTAAGTGGTCTACAGTGTCTTACAGTGCTTCATGTGTTTGTTGTTGTTGTGGGGTTTTTTATTTGGTTTCAGTTGGAAGAATTATTTAAGAGCTTGAGAATGGATTTAGGAAGTGGGGTGCTGCAGTCCTTATCTAATCTGAGGAGGAAGAAAGAAAGAAGATTGAATCTGCCTCCATGTCATGTGAAGGATTGCACTTTAGGACTGTTTGTTTTAGTACAGTAAATGAAGTGATCGTGTGCTTCCCATCCGTTTTTAAATAAACTTTCATGTGCATGACATGTCTAATTCTGGAAACAATTGGGCAGTTCTTAGAAAAATGATAGCTCAGGTTGTATTAAATTTAGTACCAAGTATTTCTGTGCTGTGTTGAGACTCCTTGAGACATGCTGACAAGAAAAAAAAGGAAAACAATGCAAAGTTGCAGTGTTTCTTGTTGGATGATAATGGCCTATGGAAATCTCAAGGATTTAGGCCACCTCGTTTGTAATTTCTTCCTGCATCTGTAATGTGCTTATTGCAGTAATGCTTCAACCACACCTACCTGAGAAGGTGCAAGTATAGCAGTGTTGTGGGACACCCTTTCTGACATCTCAGATCTGGAAGTAATGTGTGTGATGTATCACTCAGTTCATGGACAAGTATGCTATGTGGAAAGCATTCCTGCATAATGGCCTGATGTATATTAATTAGACAAGCAAGATACTCATGTGATGTAAATCAGATAGTTTCTTGGAAATGTACTAATTCATATCGCAACTGAGAATCTAGCCCAATATCCCTAATTAGGGGAAATTACAATCTGTGTTACAAATAATCTAAAATTATTTTTTACATGTTCAGGGAGGGATATACACATAGAATGTTTTATTTTAATGATTAATGGTTAATCATGTTAATTTTATTAGTGTGATGAGAGAAGGGATGTTATCTGTAAGGCTGTGGAAAGGTGGTAGCTTTCAAGAAGACAGCTGATGTGGTGTAAAAATTGTGGGAGTTTTGGTGGTACGACTGGAAATAATGGGAGGCAAGAGCACAGCAGGAGTTTGTAGAGAAGTAGAGCTAGGTGCACTTTTCCTCTGAACTTCACTGTTTGAATATCCAAAACGTTTTCTTCCTTTTCTCACGACTTTCTGCAGAATTACAGTAAGTGCTTTCAGTTTGGGCTCTTGCTTTTAAACTCTATTGGCCAGAATCCACCCAGACTTCTGCTGCCACACAAGTCAGCAGTGTATTTCCTCATACTGGCAGTGACAGACTATTCTGTGATTCTATGATCTCTCAGCCTCTGGGCATCATACAAGGAAAATCACAACTCATACACCTCTGAGCTTTGCACTACCTAGGTGCTTGGTGTTAGTGAATTAACATCATAAAGGCCAGCTGCTCAGTGCCTGTGGAAAGGAGAGCTATATAGCAAATCCCAGCAAGCTGACTGGAATGCTGCTTGCAATAGATCTTTAAAAGAACTTCAGGTGGCGAAGTGCCTTAACTAGTGTCATTGTCTGTGACTAGGATCATAGAATGGTCAGGGTTGGAAAGGACCTTCAGATCATCTTGTTCCACCCTCCCTGCCATGTTCAGGGATATCTCACACTAGACCATGTTGCCAATGCTCTGTCCAACTTGGCTTTGAACACTGCCGGGGTGAAGCATTTACCACTTCTTTGGGCAACCTGTTCTAGTACCTCACCACACTCACAGTAAAGAACTTCCTTATATCCAACCTGAGCTTTCCCTGTCTATGTTTGAACCCATTACCCTTTGCCATATAACTACAGTCCCTGATGAAGAGTCCCTCTCCAGCATCCTTGTAGGCCCCCTTAAGATATTGGAAGAATGCTATGAGGTCTCCATGTAGCTTCTCTTCCCCATGCTGAACAGATGCAACTTTCTTACCATAGTATCTTTCATCACAGGATCGCTTTCCTGAAATAAGCCATATAGCCTTTTTTGTTCAAAAGCTCTTACTGTTCCGTTGCTTGCCTGCCACTCCCAGTGCATGCTATGCACTAGCTCAGCAGTTAAAGGCAGCAAGATTGCATTTAGTTTCTTCCTCTGCCTGAGGGAGCTCTAATCAGCAGCGCCTATCTTCCAGGAAAGTATTCTGGCTATAAAGTACTCTGAGGTGGGATGGTTGCAGTATCTCCTCTTGAAGGTGTTTTGCTATGCATGGAATAATTAAATATTAATTGCGAGCGCAAAAGAAGATCAGTTTATGGATTAGGTCACACATCTGGGAGCAGAGAGACGTGGGTTTTAAGCCCTAACTCCAGGGAACACTTGTCATTAGTCTGGCTGTTTGTCTTCAAGCTGGTTTTTTGAGGATGTCCTTGATTAGTGTGTCACAGCTGAGGGAAGCAGAGGAATGTGGAACTATAAGAAGATATAAACTGAAGTGAAACTAATTAAAATTAGGAGGTTACACCAGAGGAGTCAGCTATCTTGAGCAATAGCAGCTGAGTGTGCTGATATTCAGGGTTAAGTAGCAGTGATGATGCTGAGTATCCAATTTTGGAATTTAAGTACTGAATCAAGCATCTGAATCCTACCTACAGTATACTTACACAGATCTAACCATGCATGTCAATGTTGAAAATGTAAGGTATTTTTAAAGTCCCATATAATTTCTTGTGCTGCTGTCACTGCTTTTATCCTTTTTTTATTTTATGTGTCTGTCAAACCTCCTCTTTGTGTCTCCTATTTTTCTGGCTTCCCATTTCTGTATACATTGCCATGTATTCTTGCATGGCAACATATTTCAGTTTTCATGGCAGAATTTTTCATGGCAGAATTTTTCAGTTCCTTTTTGCTAGATTCCGTGTCTGAAATTGCTCCTCCAAATACACTACATCATCTATCTGTTCAGAGCTGATTATCTCAGCAATAGTTTCTGTAGGTTGTTTTGGGTTTTCATCATTTCCTTACTGAAGTACTTTCTGATACTGCATTAACCGATTTCACTAATGTATGACACTGATAGTATCAGTGTTCTTTCTGCTCACTTTTTGTTTCCTACATGAACTAATTAATCTGTTTTATCTGAATTATTATCCCAGTTTTTGTTGATTATTTCACTGGATAGTCACCTTTTGAGAGATTAATGGATCATCCAGTACTTTATACAAACATATAGAGATTTAAATAGAAATTATCTGTACCAGTCAGATCTTTATCTGAACTCTTCCAACATTTGGGAACTATGCAGATCATAGCAATAGTTCTATTTCTTTAATAATAATTTTGACCATCAGGATTATTTTATTTTTCCCCTACCAGTTCAGAAAGAATTGTGATAATAACTGAATGGTATTTTCAAGCTGTAAATTCGTATGACTTTAGTTGTAATATACTAAGCATATAGTAGTGACTTCAATGTTGAAAACTGTGGGAGGTGTTAGCACTACTGCAAAACACATTTTTTAGCGGAATCCAGAAATAGTCAAGAAGGCTAAATTGGTTATGGTAGTTTGCTTTCAGTGTGTCAAGGATTTGGTAATAAATCGTGTGCTTGGTGAGACTCCCAGGAGCTGAGAAAACCTCACACAAATTCAGAAATTTCTATAATAAAATACATAACTTCTGTAAATGTCTAGTGTCTAAAAACTGTTAATACAAAAGCTGATCTTGTAGACATAAATTTTTGAAGTAGCTCCTCTTCAGGAAACCTGAATGCCAGAGGCATCTGTAGTGAACAGTATTTTGAAAAAGTATGTCTGTTATCATAGGACCTTACTGGCAGTTCTAAGCATTATGTTTTGTCTGAGAATAAGAAGAGAATGCGTTGGAGCAATACCTAATCTTTCATAAACCCAGTCTGAAGTCCATTATAATAATAACCAGAAACCTATTTAAATGTCTGAAATATCACAGCATGGCAGATTAATGGATATTTTAGTGATATGGAGAACTGCATTATCTATTTTAGTAGACCAGCATGATCTTTTCAAAATACCAGTTGTTTTATCTGAAGTACACAGATACTAATATCAGCCCATTTTAAAGAAAATGGATCATCATGACATTTCAAGAGCACCAGTAAAGGTAGTTTTGAGTATATGTTTTCCCACTGTAGGAGTGTAATGCATTTTCGTTCATGTCCAACATGCATTATCCATCCCTTTTATCTGCAGCGACAGAGTAAAAAGCACTTATTCCTTTAATACTTTCATTAAATGTTTGCAGTGTTATATTTTTTTCTCTGTGGTGCATTAAGCTAACAGTAGTTAGTATAATGTAGGGTTTTCATGCAGACTGATGTATTAAATTATTGTAATCAAGGTATTTAGCATTGCAATGATTTCTGGTATCATAATTAAACCCAGAATTAACTGCTTTTATATTTTTTTTACTCTCCAGCTCCCAAATTACTTAATACTAGTGAAAAAATGTGAACTTATTGATACAACATGAAGTAGTTGTGATGCTGGTCTTTGGGGGGGAAAGCATGCAGATATGCTTGGAAATGCCCAGTTACTAACTTCTCTCTAGTTTCCCCCTAACAGGGAAGAGGCCAGAGAGGACTTTTTGATAGCCAGCTGAGAAAGTTACATCACAAATGTTTTAGAATGACAAAAATAATTCCATGAATTATGACCTGTTTCTACGAGACTCTAGTGATGCACCTTAGTGAAAACAGATTGAAATCATGTTGTGCTGTCCTGGCTGGTGTTTTCAGGATACCTATGTTATCAGAATATTTGCTAACTGTGGTTTAATTGAAGGTTCATTAAAAATGTCATCAGTCATTGTCATGATGAGATGTGCGGATGGGCTAACAGTTCCATTGTCTTTGTCAGTTATTGTTTCACTGACACACTGAATAGTAGAGATACCATTTTCTTTTTTTTTTATTTTTTAATCTTAAAACTTTTTGTGTGCACTTCATTTCATTCTTCACTTCTATTTTTCTCGAGCAGCATCAAATTTGATTTGAACTGGCTCATTTGTTCAGTTGTGTTCATGTCTCGAGAGCCATCAGCAGTAAGTAAACACATAAAGTATATAAAGTAATACTGGATAACAATAAAGTAATCCAGTAAATATTGGATACCAACTAGTATAAAGTAATATTGGATAACAACTACAAGCCCTTGTAGTTCTTGTTTAAAGAATAATTTTTTTTTTTCCACCCATTTTCTTATTTTGGATGTGTGTTTATAACCCTTGAAACTACCACTTTGGGTTATTCCTGGAAATAATGTCATTGCAATGTGTTTGTGGTACTGGGGATTTAAAATTAATCTGGATCATGTCTTCTGTCTTCAGATAACCAACCTTAATGCCACTTCTGAACTCCACTGTGGCATGTGGTTTTGAGAAAGACTGCAAAGGGGCATAAAAGAACTGCATCCTAATTTTATGCTTCATTTCCTCCACGTGTTTGAATTCGGCCTCCAGAAGTTTGTTCAGCAGAATGTTTGGTAGAGGCAACAGAACTCTTGAGCACTAATGAGGTACATAAAGATAAATATACTTCATAATAAATTTATGTTACTATCAGCTCAGAGCAAATTTTAAGGAGGCAAATGAAAATTAAATATTTATAAATAAAATGAACTGAATTGCAAAACAAGTATCAGTCTTCAAGAGGAAGGGGAAGCCTTCTGAAAGCTAAAATTGCTGTTACAGTAACTGAAAGGCTCAAATATTGCACAAGAGGTTTAAATTGACAGCAGATGAACAGCTTAGGGAAATGAACAGCTGAGCAGCTCTGTTTCCAGTAGATGTAATAGACTCAGCAAATAACTTGCGGAGACTATATCCTCAGGATTGGAAGGGTACTATGGTCTGTCATTTTTTGCCATTTTTAAGCCTGAATGACCTATATTTAAAAGGCACACTGAAAGATGTTGCTGCTAGTTTTTAAGAAGGGAGCTCAGAGGTCATATACTCTTACCTTGCTCTTTGCTTTTCAACTTGTCCTTGCTATGTAATTTTCAGCTAGCTCCTGAGCCTTTCGTATGATGGCTGGATACTTTCTTTTTGCTGAAAATAACGTGCAGTTGAAGAAAATGTTAACAAATAATTTATTCAATGTCTTGCTGAAATACACATTTCAGAAACTTCTGTCTAGTTGATTTACACCGATAACTTAAGTGTTGCAACTTTAGATTAGGCTTTTGTCTTCAGAGAGGTTAGACCACAAAAAACCCCCAAACAGTATGGAGATTTTAATCCAAAAAATGACTCTGTATAGATCTTCACAGATCATTGATCTATACTGTAGGGATCAATAACAATGGTAATTTACTTTGTATGTTATTTGAAGAAGTATCTGGAAGAAAATTCCTTGCTGCTTTTCAATACAGCGTTTCAATGATGCAATTAAAGAAAGAGACACATTTTCAAACATCTCCTCTGTAAGGTAGCTTCAGTTCTGCTTTCCAAGAACATTCCCCTGTTAAGTCCCAGCATTCCCTTCCTGAGTCAGAGGACTACCCGTGTCACCATTTCCTTGGTACTTACAATGTCCTCCCATGAGTTTCTCTGTCCTTTTGCTTCTGAGTAATGCCTTCTCTCTCACTCCTTTTCTTTCTTTTTTTCATTTGTCAGAGGCTTCTGTGAACACTGACACCTCTGGTTTGCCTCATGTCTCTGGTATCCCTGATGGTCTGGATCTGCTTTCTCCTGGATACTGTAAAGCAGGAAAAATACCTCGCGCTTCTTGTTCTTTTTTTCTATTTCCAGGTTTGCAAATAAAGATTTTACTCTCATTGCCACACTGCTTGGTAATATTTTCTATGTGCACGTTGCTTATAGTAGCTTTTATTTGAAAAACAGTATTGCAGTGGTTTTTTACAAACTTAAACTTCGCTGAATGTGACTTGAGGAGCTGAAATAGGTGGATAACTAATTTTTGTGTGTGTGTGTGTGTGTGTGTGATGAGTTAATTTCTGTCATTAAAATCATGACACAGGTACTCCCAATAGAACTGGAGAACATATGGTTCTAGGCAATCAGTAACTATATTTCTTGGATAAAGTATTTTAAAATCCAGTATAGTTAGCAGATTAGGTATGCCATCTGTCTGTAATCGGGGCAATGGACAACATCCTGGAACGGAAACAAAAGCAAACAGACTAAGGTGTCATTGTGATTTTAATTGTATAATATTAGATGTATATGTCAGCAGGAGAGCGACAAAAACAGGAAGAGGGAGATCAGAGGCTCATGGATGGGTGTTACCACATAAGCATGTCAGCTGTTTCAGGGTCTGCATTGTTCTGAACTTGTGAATTAGAACTCATTCAACTGCAAAAGAGCATGGCTGTCTAAAACAGCAATACTGAGACCCAGAAATAAAATTAGATTTCAGATATATGTTGTGAAGAGATAACACCAATACATTATATGGTTACTAGCAGCTAGACACTTCTTGGGCTGGAGAATGGACAGTGAGATGGCAGGGGCTTAAATCTACCTATAAAAGGCTTCAAGAACCTTGTGCCAGCTTTAGACTTGGTGCACTGTGGTCTCATGGTTTAGTATGCTTGAAGGCCCAGATTTTGTACTTTGTTTCTGGCAAAGCTACCTGTATGTACTTGGCATTAACAGGGCCTCATATAGCATATTTTTTGTATTTTCTCAGCCACCATACTGATTTACTCAAATGGTTTTACGCGGTTTTGCAGTTTTTCGGAATTTCCTGATCTTCATCTCTCTTCAGAGAGCGAGGAGACCAGGGAGCATACTAGGACTATTTGGTAGCACCAGGAGTTAACATGGTGCAAGTCCAAGAAGACACATTCTGTAAGCTCTGGGACGCAAAAGTAATTTGGTCTTTGTGTTGCTAACTGGCTGGTGGGATAGGTTTTGAAATGTCACTTGCACAAAGTCACACTTTTTATAGGAAATCAGGAAGGTCTGATGCTGTCTGTGCAAACTTTATAAGCAGCCTGGTAAGTATTACAAAATAAGTGACATAGAAATTATGGAAATGGAAATTTTAAAAATAAAGTGTTATTCTATGTATATTTATGTATCCTCAGTCTTAAAAAAAGCAGTCTATTAATTCTCCTGAAATGTGATTAATTTAATGTGTTTATAAATATTTTTGGTTGTTTTTTTTTTGTTTGTTTGTTTGTTTTATTTTTTTCCTTGGCAAACTGTGTTATTTGGTCATATTAAGTTGAAGAAGCAGCCAGGCTTCCACGTTTTGTTTTCTGGTTTTGGTTTTGGGTGGGTTTTCTGTTGTTTGGTTAGTTGGTTTGATTTAGTTTGGTTTGAAGGGAAGAGTTTAACTTTCACTATAAAGATGTAGCATAGGAATTAAAAAAAATGCATATGCCAGATTATTTTCAGTATTTTGTAATGAATAATATTTTTGTTTGTTCCAATGATATAGAGCTACTTGCTAAAATAATCCATGGAGACTGTCTCACTGCCCTTAGAAACCCTGCAGGATAGCTGTAGCGGTTTTTATGAACTAATGATAATACAAATCGCTAAAGTTCTAAAAAAAAAATAAATTCTCATGGAACAGCTCAGCAGGGATTTAGAAATTCTATATAGTAGTCATTAAGGGCTTTTTTTTCTGTAGCTCTCAGGTTTCATAACTATCATTTCTGCAGAAGCACTCTGACGTCCTCTTAAATTATCATCCCCAAACTTTCTAAAGTCAAACTCAGTTGTACATGAAGAAGTTTATGATTTAGTTTCTGAAATTCTAAAGATGGACCTAGCTGGCTGCACTAATGCAATAAGGCAAGGACAAAAGCATCTTACATTTAGAATCTTGCTTTGTTGTTTGTATCTTCACTGCAAAGAAGTTTCGTACAAACAATTGAATGATACGTAAGAAAAAACCTTGCTCGACAAGCACTGCAGAAAAAATCCCACAACCGCAGTCTATAGACCATAGGGAAGTTAGAGACATTTAAGCAGGGTTCATATGACTTCATTAGCCTTACAGTGTTGTCTAGGTTTCTTCTGTAATGAAGGATAGTCTGGAACTGTCTCTCATATTAAGCTCCAGTTTTATCACTATTTTGAATGAAACTGGGTGCAGGCTGCTTTTCTCTGCACACAGATCTTTTTCTGTAGGTGTTTGTTGACTCATATTGGGTTTTATGATTCTGAAAGGATTGTTGCCTAGAGTGCTTTCACCTGAATTTGGAGGTTAATTTTCACCTTCATCTGTTTCCTGGTCTCATTGAATGTGAACATACAAAAGCCTGTAGGAATGTGCAGCTGAGGGAGGATGGTGGTGCTCCTTTCAGCAGCAACTTGAGCTTAAGAGTGTTTCAGATGCCATTGAGAACTCTCCTGACAGTACGTAGATTGTCCTCTGAGGGTGTCTGTCTTCTCTGAGCAGAGAGGGATTCTTGATAACCTACTGAAACAATACGCTTTCTTAAATGGAAAATCAAGCATGATCCATCCTGCTTCCAAATTCTGTGTTTGAATGCATGATGTTACATAAGAGAGGACTTGTAAAATATGAGGAGATACCTGTAGGAAAACAGCATTAATTTAAATATAATTTCCATATCACTGGCAGATTTAGACTTGCTAATGTTGCATGAAGCACAAGATGTTAAAAAAATGTATAGGAAAAATGTTTTTATTCTGTCTGTGGGAAGGGGGGTATTCTTTTTTTTTATATTCAAAGTTCTTTGTGAAGGGTCAGCTGTGTTGTTTCTGTTTTATAGTCAGCAATATTGCCAGTCTTTGCTGAAAAATACCATTTACAATAAAAAGGAGTCATAAGGGGTGTAGTTGCACTTGAGAGAAATGAGAGTCTGCTTTTAGTGTCTTATCTACTGATGAACATCACTTGTTGCTTTCAACTTTATTCTATAAATTAACTCTACTCGTTTAACTTAGTTGCACCAATAAATTCAATCAACTGAAAGGGCTGTATTTATGGAAATATGTTTGACTTCATTGTTTATCTCATGTAATTTGATTTATATTTAAAAAAATCATGTTGCACAAACAGCAGTATGATTTTATTGTAATTTAGGTTTCTTTCCAGTGAAACTGTGGAGAACAGGTTTGAAACTGTGAACTGCTACACGAGAATAACACCATGAAACCAACAGCTGGGAAGTTTGTGTCAGACCTCATAGTGAGCCCACAGTCTGTGTCTTTAAAGTATTAATTTTGAATCCAGTGCCTTCAGTATTACTACCTTTGGGTTTAATGAGGAAAACACTACACTAAGTTAGTTTAGATATCTGTAGCTCCTGTTTTTCCTTTATTCTCTTTGTATTTCTTACGGTTGTTTCCCCATTGAGTCTGGTTTAAGTTCCCAGCTGGGTATTTTTGCTTCAAACTTTTCCCTAGCAACTTTCAGAAATCTGCAAGGTTTGTGAAGAAAACAGAAGGGGAATTTGTGGGTTTATTTTCTGCAGTGTGTTTTTCCAAGAAGAGTTTGAAAATGTTGATCCTTTTTTTCAATGGAAAAAATACTTGATCATTGTAGGAAGGTGACAGTGTCTCAGTCACTGTGAATACAACAGCATTATATGGTATTCTTTTACAAGGAAGCATTATTAAGATATTAATCAGTGTCTGGAACTGAGTTTCAGCTTTAGCTTGAAAGGCTTTTCCAAGTAGCAGAAAAGAAATAGATGGGGGAACTTTTCATATGGGCATGCCTTCTGGACAGAGTTTTTTTTACTGTGGAGGTAAACTGTGTGTGTGCTTTGGCTCTTGTTTTCAACTGCTCATTCTGGAGAAACAAAATAAAGGAACAGAGGCTTAAAGAAGCATGCATTTGACCTGAAGACAGTCACTATACAACTTCCAATTTTCACCGTACTGAAGAACAAAGAAACTTCATTGAAGCACTGGGTAATGAAATAATGGAAAACGAATCTGTGAGGTTAAAACAACTGTAGTGATACAATTCTGTGAGGCCTATGCCAAAGCACAGAGGGATGATTTGTTGTTAGTTTTTGTTTCCAGTGTCCTCTGTTATTAAACACATCTCACCAAAACATTTCAGTATCAAAAGACAACATTCTTAATGTCTGTCCTGCATGTGGTAATGCTGATACGAATCTTTCCTGTCCAAAATCTTCACAAAAAAGTGGTTGCTGAACATGTGATTTTGGCAAAAGTCACATGTTCAGCACCTTACCTACAAGAGCTGAAATCTTGTTCATCTTGCACAGTATCGGTGTGAATTCTTCGAACCAATTTACCATTTCCATTTAGGCTGTATTGCTTCATGCAGGTGAAGTGTCATTGATTCAAATGGGACTAAAATGTGTGTGACTAATCTGTGGAAGAAAGAAGGACTTTTTTTTAGCTATTTCTTTGAAGCAGAAAATGTCTTTTATTCTATGCCTTTTAACAAAGCAAGTTAATTAAATCACAGAGTGTATTACCATTTTGTACCTTACAACATTTGTATTTGTGGTCGTTGGAAAGTAAGACAGTTCTTCCAGGAGCTGGTATTTTTATCTCAAGATAGTTAAGAGGATGTTTTCTGACTTCATTATACCTACATGTAGCTACAACTACATTTTCCAAGTCTCAGGTTTTGACACTTTTATCTTTTTATTTTTCTGTGATTTGTTAGGAGCCATTGTGTGTGTTATCTTTTTGATGACATGTAGAAATACCTTTACAAAAAAAATTGTTTGAAAGCCTGGTTTCACTGAAGTCAACAGCAAGAGCTATTAACCACGTAACAGCTGTTAACCATAATGGGACCTAGATTTCAACATCAGCAACCTCTTAGGAAAAGATTCCCACTTAGAACAAAACCAGCTTAAAATTCTTCTTCAGAATGAATTTTACAGGGATCATCACAAAGGCTTAAGTGGAACATAAAGATAACAGTTTAGTCTGGCTCTCGACCTGAACATTCCAGAGATGTATTTCATCCTCTTTAAGCTGTATGGTAACATTCTTGATACATACTTCTCTTGTTTATAAACCATTCTAGCACTTGATAAATACAGAACAGAAATACTTCTGTTGTTGTTTTAGAAATAAGCTTTTGACATTTAACTCTAGCATAAATGATATGATTCATTTCCTTGATTGCCTTTGATGGGATCAGTTATGATTAGGATATTGGTCATCGATCTTCTCTACTAGGTAAATGCCTTTTGTGGCTAGTAGCTTTATTAGTGGTATCAGAGGTACAAAAGTGGCAGGGGGGTTGGAACTGGATGATCTTAAGGTCCTTTCCAACCCTAACTATTCTATGATTCTATGACTGGGGTTTTTTTAAATTATTATTATTGTAATGTGCTATTTTGGGATAAAGTGGCATTACTTTATTTTATATTATTTATATTATATATATATATATTTTTATATATATATATATATGTTACATTATTTTACTTGACAGCTGTAGTGTTTTACTTTTTCTCTTTCAGTGGCTTGGACTGATGATGTCCCAGTGCTAAAAGAGTTAGATGAATGCAATAAAGAAGAAGTTTGACTGAATTTAACTTCAGTAATATGAATGTATTTTGATAGTCCGAGTTATTTGGACAACTGCTTTTTATTTTCAGTGTTTCATTGGTGTGTTCTTTTGGAGAACTGTTGTGGAAAGTAGGTTGCCAAATAAAGCCTGTGTGCATCAGGTATACAAACTTGGCACTTACAAGTTCGCTGTTTGTTCCATTTTGCTATTATAGCAAATGTTGTTAACAAAACAAATGACAGTGTCCATTTGTAGGCTTTCATTCAACAAACACAGCTGGTGTTTGATCCTTGAAGTCACTTGAGTTGCTTATTATTTTGAAGTTAGCAGATATGTGTTGTGCTAGATTGAAGCCCTGAAATATGTCTGAATTTCCACTCCATCCTTTCCCCACATTCATTTATAAACTGGAGCATTGGATCATACAGTTTCTATAATTCCGTGTTTCAGGAAGTACATTGTAGCCTTGGGACTTCTGTCTGCCCCACCCCCACCCTCAGCAAGGTGAGTCTTTGCCTCAGTCTTCCTGCAATTGTAGTTGAATTTGTTCATGAAGTGAGGGAAATTTTATCATGGAACTGGAAAACAATGTATAGAGTCACAGGAATAATTAGTTTGTTGTATCAGATATTTTTCATCCTTAGAAAGATAAAGAAAAAAACAACATCAGTTTTTTTTTTGTTTGTTTTGGTTTTTAATTAATGACTGGTAGAAAGCTGCACTAAGAATTTTTAATGTCTGTTCAAATCTGTATTTTGATGTAAGATGAAATTTTCCTCCTGCTTAGACAATGTACCTAAGACATATGGATTGTCAAAGAAGCATGTATTTTTCATCCAGAAGAGGTATTGCTTTTGAATAGCAGCACTTAGTGTTCCCAAAATAGCATCTCATACAGGAAAGAATATCTCTTACAATATGGAGATGCATATAGTCATCTTGGAGTGGGTAGATTTCCTGTGGCCTTTTACATAGTAACTGCAATAAAATGAGCACTTTTATTTTCAGTTTATGAAATTAAAGCTCACGCAATTGTATTACTATGAGTGAGATTTATGGTTAAATGTAATAAAAAGTGCAGACCAAACTGAGTCATAGTATTCCCCATAGTGAATAGTACAGTGATGTGCAGATAGTACTACTGTCATCAATGGAACTATTCAGTCTCAGGAAGTGTTGTACAGATGGGCTTTGCAATAGCCGGATGGGTTGGAGTTTGTTGAAAGGGAGTATTTTAACATAAATTTCTGGGAAAATTAAACTGTTTCACACTGAGCAGTATATTATGTAAGTTAAAATTTATTCTGCATCTTGATATGCTCACCTGTTTATGTGACAAATTCTGTCTGTACGTGTTGGTAATTGTGACAGAGTTCATTCAGTAGCTGTATATTTACCCAGACTGCGTAACACAATATTCATTCAAAGAGCCTCAAAACTGAAACAGGTTTCTGCATGACCTTTTTCCTCTTTTCGTGGGTGAGCTCAGACCTACTTTCTTGTGTAATGAATCAAAGTGAGCTGATGTTGTGTTGGAATACTTTAAATGATGTATGTAGCTCCCGAGTATCAATATTAATCAGTCAACAACATTAATCAATACAATGTGTGTATGAAAGAAACAACTGTACGGTTCTTCTGGTATGGCATATTACCATTTTCGTGCAGTTTTGGAACCAAACTGTTTAAATCCTTTAGGCTACCAATGTCATGACTAATGAATTCACAATACTTGCTTTTTTTCAAGAAGGTGGCTGAACGTCACTTGTAATCCAGGGTCAAATCTTGTTACAGCAGAAGCTGAGGGTAAGGTTTGCACTGATGTCTGTGGAGAAGGACTAGGCCCTGAATCATCAGAATGTGGTTGCCACTGCACTGAGCAAATCTTCCACCTATGGTGTCAACTGTGAACTCACACTATGCAGACCACCAGTGACTGAGTTGGCTGATGTTGCTTGTGCTTCCCCTTGTCCAATTTACAGGGACATACTCACTCATACAAAGCTCCAAGGAAGATTAGAAATGAGATTTTCTCCTAAACAAGAGCTCTGACACTTAAACACATACCCAGCTTTTTTTAATCTCATGGTAATTTGAGTGGTTGAGTATTTTCCAGCATTTTCTATTCCAAATTACTTAAGAAAAACTGAGGACAATAACATTGGGGAATGAAACAAGTGGTATGCATTAAAATATTAAATAAGCATACATATCTGAATTAGTGGAATATAAACACTTCCAGAAACACAAACAAATAAATATTGTCCTTAGCAAATTTCCTGTTGATTCATTAAAGCCAGGAATTTACCTTGAAACAGAAGGTGAGGTAGAGAAGTTAATTGGCAGTAGCTGTAGTTGCCAGCAGTGAAAGTGTAAATGGGTTTTCTAGTGCACACTATTATCTCAAATATATGGTATGCTGTGGTAGCACACCGTATGCCATATGCCTCATCCTTTCATATTACTCCCCCTCATTTTTAATGACTCGTTCTGTATATTAAAGTGTGGAAACTATTCCAGCAGTGAGACTGGCACATTCTTTACACAGCTGAATTGACACGTCCAAAGCTGCCTCTGGCTACTGCTTATGGGCTGCATTGCTTTTCTTTCATGGAGAATGTTTTTTGCCTAATTTTAGTCATGCAAATCCCACAGTATGATGCTATCATAAGTCCTTGCGCAGGAGAAGGCGGCAGTCTGCCTCCCTGTCCATATATGGCTTTCATGTTGTTGCTGTGTACCGCCTCTGACATCACCTGAATGTCACATGCATTTCATTTTGTGTGAAAGGAGTGCATCAGAGGGGATGAAGAAGGTTTTCTGCAAGAGAAAGAAGTATCTATCCACTCAGGTCTTCTGTAATGACAGTAATGAAATCTACTAATAAAAATAAAGTGTATTGCATTTGATGTTCTCCCTATTGTAAATTAAAAATACACCCCAAAAAATACACCTCCCACATTTCAGATGCTGGTAATCAGGGGCATGAGTCCAGGAGCTGTTTTGTGCTAGAGAGCAGTACTGGGCATCTGCCCAGCACTAAAACTGGGTCTCCTCTGCTGATGCATTGCCAGATGCATTGCCACAGCCACC